AGTCCAAGCGGCAGGAGAAAGTAATTTCTCCCTGAGGCAAAAATGGGCGTGTAAGAAGTCAAAGTTTAAAGTTGGGAAGTTTTGGGGAAAGTTGGTCTTTCTCCTGGGGAAAAAAAACCTTTCTCTTAAACTATAAAGCTTTTTTTGGAAAACTTGGGGGGAAAAATCTCTCTAAAAAGCCTTAATCTTTCTCTCTTAAGAAACTTAAAAACTAAAGCCTCTAACCTCTCTCAAAAAGAGGAGAGTAGAATCACCTGAAGATATTAGTATGGGGACCACCTCTGATTAGCTCTAAGGGAAAACAACAAACTTAGACAGCAAAACCTAAGTTCTTTCAAGCTTTAACAATCCTCCCTGCAATGCAGGAGGCAGGGACAAGTTTCTAAAAACGTCTTCTAAGCTCTCTCTTCAAGCTAGTAAAAGACAGTGGGTCAGAGTACCCTGAGGGAAACGCTTGGGAGAGTGTGGGTGAAGAGCTACAGAGAGCCCAAAAAGGGCAGGAAACTTTACCTGAGAAAAGCAAAATAGTCAAGCTTTTCAGTTACAGCGAAGCTGAGGAATCAAGGGTTTTGTTTGAGTGAGCCTCTCAGAATGAAAAGGTGCTCCTAATCGCCCTAATGCAAGGATCCCCTGAAGCAATGCAAACTGTTAGCATTGTATCCTCGCTTGTGACCAAAAAACCCAGAGGTGACTGGCCAGCGTCTCTGAGTTGGAGTGTATTTCGGGGATACTGGGGTTCCTGCAGTCGTAAACTTCCTGGGGCACAGAGCTGAGGCAGGAAGGTGCAGGACCCAGGGGAAGATTGCTAATGAACAAACAAAGCTAAAGCCGGTGGGAACCGCACAGTTGCACGCTTTCCTACAAGTCCCGGGTTGATAGGTCCACAACTACAAAAAGGAATCTGAGAAAAAGCTTTCCTATCAGAGAAAGGACCTTTCAGGGAAAACAGTAAAGCTGAACTGTGTCTGAAGCAGTTGTGCGCCGAGTCAGAATGCTGTCTGGGGAAAGAGCCCAGCCAGGGCAGAACAGAACTGTCCAGGAGTAAAGCTTGCTTTTCTGTCAGAGAAAGCACCTCTTTGAGAAAAGCTTTGTTTCAATTGACTTCCTGAGATGAGGGAGTGTAGCCCTGAGGGGTGATTGCCTTTGGCATAAGCTCTGTCCTTGAGCACCCAGACAAGCAAATGCAACCCACTGGGGGACTGGGCCAGGTGAAGGCCTGATGAGGCAAAGCACCTGTCCTAATGGGAGTTTAGAAATGGCGAAAACCTCCCTTGCTAAGCTTGATTTATGAACACAAACCTCAGACCCCGAAAAATAGAAACGGACAAAAAGCCCCTACCTTCAGTAGCAGGGAAAGCCGCCGCTCTAGTGTCGGAAACCGTTTCTGGGGTAAAGGGGATAAACTGAGACCAAACTGGGAACTGTCTGGGAGAAAGACTCTGAAGAAACAGAGAAGGGACATAATCCTCCCCAGAAAATGCATGACCTGAAAAAGCTGCTAGAAT